TGCAGCTACTTAAGAATTTCCCAGCATTTTATGGAACCCGAAGGTTCATTACCGTGTTCACAAGAGCCCTCCACTGATCCCTATCCCGAGCCAGATCAATCCAATCCATACCATCCCATCCTATCTCTCTAAGATCCATTTTAATATTATCCACCCACCTACGCCTTGTTCTTCCCAGTGGCCTCCTTCCTTCTGGCTATCCCACCAATAACCTATATGCATTCCTCTTCTCCCCCATTCGTGCTACATGTCCTGCCCACCTCATCCCCCTTGACTTGATCATTCTAATTATACTTGAAGAAGAGTACAAGTTATGAAGATCCTCATTATGCATTTTTCTCCAACATCCTATCACTTCATCCCTCTTCGGTCCAAATATTCTCCTCAACACCCAGTTCTCAAACACCCTCAGTCTATGTTCCTCCCTTAATGTCAGAGACCAAGTTATATTCTAATTTTTATGTTTTTGGACAACAGACGAGAAAACAAAAGGTTTTGGACTGAATGGTAGCAAACATTACCCAAGTTAAATCTCCTCTTAATTTCCTTTTCAATCAGGTTTTGATTTGTTATCGTCGTTCCCAAATAACTGAACTGTGCCACATTTTCAAAATATCTGTTTTCTATCGTTGTGTCATGATTCTGCCCTACATTTTGGTGACGAGACAGCAACATATATTTAGTTATTTCTGTGTTTACTTCTAGACCAACCTCCTTACTTGCGTCAATTAAAGTTTATGTATTTTTCTATTAAGTAAGGGTTTCACATATGCCAACTTGTTTTGTGATGACAATGCTGATTACTGGGTCGTGTTCAGTTACCATTTGTTTTCAGGAACCTATGCGGTGCAGCCTTCCAGAAGTATAGCATATGTCATGTCACGTGATTTCTTGAACCAGCTCGCAAAGGTCTTTATAGCCATTTTACCCTAACAGGCTATAGTTACCCGAGGAGCCTTGGTGTTTCTGCTCACATCTCCAACGCAGTTCGTTAAATTTTTATTGCCGCATATTTTATGTACTGTGCACTTCCACTGAAGTCTTACGGTTTTAGAGATAATCAAACAAGGGGGACAGAACAAGCCGCGACTGTTATGCCGTGCTTAAATTTCCTAACTTCAACCCGCCTTTGAGAGAATGTAATGGTATGAAACGACACTACCACATCCGATACTCGATTTGTGCCGTATTCCGTTTTCTTCACTATGTAATGTTCTGAATCCATTTTGGCAAGTCTGCAATTAAACTTTTTGTGCACCTACTTGCTTCACCGCATGACTGTCCTTAGGTAACAATTCGAGAACAAATGAACGGATTTTAAAGGAAACGTTAATGAACAGTTTTACTGGAATTTCTGAACATGTTCCATTTTTAATTAAAATCGGACGTGACTAATGGACACTTTACATGACCAACATACGTGTGTACGCGCATTTTGATCGCAAATCGCGAAATATTTCGGCGCCAGATGTTTGAGCACAGGCACAAGAGAGGGATGGCTGGAGAAAGTTTTTAGAGCAGGCCAAGAGCCACAAAGGGTTGTAGTGCCAATAATAAATAATAACAATACGATATTTCCTATACGAAATATACTTTTTTGTAAGGTTTTCGAGATAATCGAACAAGATGGGTTTTATGCTGTCACCTTATAAATGATATTTAGCATATTTTACATCGGAGGTCTTCCGCATTCCGTTTTAAGCTATTTATAAGAGAGCAACAAGAGTTTGCCTTCATTCACTGGCAGTCTAAAGGAAACAGCGGAAGAAACGTGCTTCAATTGTTGCGCTATGCATACATTTCCCACCTTCATAAATACTATGGAATTGAAGGTCAGAACTTTACTGCAGCAAAAAGCATTGTCCCCCCCCCCACTTCAAGAATCCACGGTTAACTGAGTGTAGGGTCGGCGCGACGGCACAGGCGAACCAAGCATCCGCGTGGGGAGGAACATTTCACAAACTTGCGTGATCGTTTGTTCTTGTCCTGACCTGGGGATATCCATGAGGGTCCGATGGGCCAGGCCGGGCCCCACCACTATTTTATACCTCACTGCATAAACGTGTGAGCCGCTTAGTGACTACGAACTGGACGGCAGAGGGTTCTGAGTTCGAGTCCCGGAAGGGGAGAGATTTTCTTCATGTCCAGACCAGTTCTGGGGCCCATCCAGCCTCTTATCCAATGTGTACCGAGTGTTCTTTCCAAGAGGGCAAAGTGGTCGGGGCGTGAATCTGACCACTCGCCTCCAATCGGTGCCGAGATCAAGAATACGTGGATCTATACATCCGCTCCCCCATACGACTTCATGGCGTAGTGCTTAATTAGTTACGCGCTGGGGCAAATTTACCTATGCGTCAAAGCAGGTAGTTTAATGGAGTTCTGATTCTTTTTTTTTTTATTTGTTTCATTCTGGTCCGTCACACTAACAATTACAAATATAAATCACTCCGTCCAATGTGACCTGTAAGTTTATTACTACATGAAAACTCAACACCCTTACATGTTTCGGTCTCTGCGGACCATCTTCAGAGGGCAAACATCACTACAAATAGGAAACCATCATCACATAAGTTGTTTAGACGTAAAGTACGTACACTTATGCTACAATGCATAGTACACAAAATAGAACATTTCACAAACACAGCAGTTTCCTGGGAATGTAAAGTTTTTTATAAAATTATTTAAAATTTCTTGATGCTAATTAAAAATCTACATGTCAATAATTAAAATTCATAAACCATGCAGGCTCGTGTTCGTCCTCCCATCGTCCCTCTTGTATGGGGCAGATATTGTGCCACCTGTCTATCTTGATGTGGAGGTTCTTTATATCTTCCAGGGTTTGCTCGTGGCTGCTGTGCTGTTTTCACTGTTTCAGTGATTTTGTATGACTTCTGCTTGTTACTTGCACAATCTTGTTATGTAATCTTGTATATGTGGAAGATCGAAAGCTGTGTGCAAATCGCGGACCAGTGTGCACCTTGAAGAATTTGCAGTGGTGCGGAGAACCTTGTTTTGTAGGCGCTGCAGTTTTAAAAGGTAGGTGTCTGCCACTAACTCCGACACGGGGCGTTAGAAAGCAGGATGAGCACAGGGGGGTCAAATCCCTCGCTGACCCAAAGAGGCATTTATTTCTACCAAGAATAGAAAAGTGTCAACACAGAATGAGCCTTAGGCTCCTAATGAGTGGGAGCTATCAAGATAAAAAACAAACCATTAAAATGTGATTATTTAAATAAAAAGAATCTTTGATTTCTTTAATTATTCAGCCCTGGCCCCAGCTGATCAAAACATGCATACAGAAGATGTCCATATAGACCAGTTGAAATAAAATCACGCTGACCTCTCTAACCAGAAACTGACAGGACAGCCCAGGTGGAAACTTCATACATCTATGCAGGTAATAAGATGTCAATGTACCTATACAATTGCTTGAATTCATATCTCCATGAATAGCATAAGACGTCTGAGTAAGCCCCAACCCCACATTCTTCCTGCTAATTTTAAGCGTATTCAGCAACAAAATAATACGATCTTTTGTGGTGTGTGTGTACGCATGCCTGCTGCCACTAATCACGAGAATATTTTAGATATAACAAGAGCTGGGAGGAGTCGGTATAGCGACTGGCTACGGGCTGGAAGACCGAGGAGTCGGAGTTCGAGTCCCGGTATGATCAAGAATTTTCTCCTTTCCACGTCGTCCAGACCCGCTCTGGGGCCCACCCAGCCTCCTGTCCAATGGATACCGGGGGCTATTTCCCCTGAGGTGAAGCGGCAGGGGCGTGAAGCCTCCAATTCGTGCCGAGTTCAAGAAAATGTAATCTATATAACCACTCCCCCATACATCTTCATGGCGTAGTGCTTAATTAGTCAAGGACAGGGATTCTACTTTTTTTACTTTTCTACTAACAGCAGGGATGGCTCAGTCGGTATAGAAACAGGCAATGGGCTGGGCAGTCGGCGGTCTATTCCCAGCAGAGACAGCAGATTTTTGTTTATGCCACAGAGTCAAGACGGGTTTGGGGGCCCACGCAGCCTCCAATTCAATGGGTACGGGGCGTGATGCGGCCGAGGCGTGAAACTGACCACTCACCTCCATCTAATGTAAGATATTCCTGGGCTTAAATAAGTAGGCACCACGCCATGAAGACATGAGGAACTGGAAGTATAGTTCTGCCATTCTTCACCTCAGTACTAATTGAGTTAAATGGTCAGCTTCACGCCCTGGCGGCTTTACCTCTGGGCAAGCAGCCCCTTGCACTCTTCTAGTACCCGGGTCCAAAATGATGGACCTATAACTCCACTCCCCCATGCATCTTCATGGCGTTGTGCTTAATCACATAATTAACTAAGCACAGAGACCGCTTTATATTTTTAACCTCTATTAGACATGGTCTGAAACTCGACTGGGAAATATATCTTCTCAGGGGCCTATACACTGCGCCAGGAAGATAGATGGGATGGAGATATGGCAGCACGCATTGCCTCAGGGAAAATAACTTCCGGTATCCACTGCGTATGTGTTCGGGTGGGCACCAGGGCCAGTTGTAGACACTGTAAAGAAGAGAATACCTCTCGCCCATGCCTATAAGAACCGAATCCCGATTCTTAGGTCGTCTAACTCGTAGCCTTGTCGTTATTTCCACTGCACTTTTGGACCAGAATTTCATCCCATAACGATCTGATACATAGTTAAAGTCACTGTGACAGCTGGATTATATGTTTACACTTCCGCTCACCCCTAAAAGATTCAGGCGCGCATACAATCTAGCCGGCGTGCCAAGTGTAGTGACAGAAACCTAGAAACGACGGCAATCATTTTCCATAATGTGCTTATTTTCACCCAAAAAGGAAAACTGCGTAGCATATGGCTGGCGCGGCCTCAGGACCGGTCCTCCTGGTCATGTGACACTCGTCCTTGTGGCCCAACTGTTTACTTTTACTCCAGGAATGCGTTGCCTCGGGCACACAGCACTATGGAAAACAAGTTTGCTTCCACTCACCTGGGTTGTCGGGCAGATGCACTGAGAGGTACAGCCCCAGGTTCGAATCCGGGAAGGCTACCCAGGAGCTGAAGGGGCCTGTCACGTTGAGGACGAGCCAGCCTCCCGCGGGGCCCGCAGAAACACTGTCAACCAGCATCAGAGCGTTGTCTCTGAGGGGGGTGAAAAAAGAAAAATAAGAAGCGGTGCAGTTATCAGCAAGTCCCATCACACAAGTAGGCTAACACCCAGCCAGCTGAATCCTACACATGATCCACCCAGCCAGCTGAATCCTACACATGATCCATCTTAAGCATTACAGAGCAGACAGAACTCACCCCCCGTCATCTGCTACTAGCTGGTATACGCTGACGGTTGCCCGCTGCAGAGCGGTGCCTTCTGACAGGAACAGTCGCAATTCTGAGCTCACGATGCGCTCCCCGACTGGCACTTCGCTCACATCGAACCAGAGACGTCGCCCTCTTTCGTGCCGTAATCCGCTCAGGTGGGCCTCGCCTATGGGGTGCCCATATATTAGCAGCCAATATGAAATGAACGGTGAATTTAATCCGAAATCCATAGGCAATCCCAACATATTTCTGATTTCACAGTCATGACAGCTTAATCTGGACCGGGCCGCGCCACAGCTCAAGCGATTAGTTTGCTGGCATCCCACCGCGGCGGCCCGGGTTCGATCCCAGGTCTGGTCAAGTGAGATTTGTGGTGGAAAAAGTGGCGCTGGGGCAGGTTTTCTCCGAGTACTTCGGTTTCCCCTGCCAATCTTCATTCCACCAATTGCTCCACAATCACCCTCACCTATCATCTGGGGCTGGTACAATAGGCCAGAAGTGGCCACAGTACAAGAGACTTAGTCCCACACCCACTAGAAATAAAAAAAATAATAATTCATCTGGACCGAACGGAAATGTAGTAAGAAAGGATAGAAGAGAACTGCATAATGAGTAGCTTCTTAATGTACACTTGAAATACTTATGGATGACATTGAAATTGAGGAGGGTCATGATGAACTGAGCTTCAACAGGATAGGGTACATGCCTACTCATATGCAGTGGGTACTGAGGGCTCCTTACTGTGGGTAATGCGTCAGAGACGTGAAACACCCCCACCTCCATCTAATGCCGGAATTAACAATTCCTCGAGCTGTTACCCCCACAGGCCTCTACGGCATTTCCTAATTAAACATAGGGATAACTTTATTGCAATACATAAACTTACTCACTCACTCATGGAGCTGAGCCCTTCTTGAGGAGCCGCCAATTCTGCTGCTACACAAGAATTTCCCAGCATTTTATGGAACCCGAAGATTCATTGCCGTGTTCACAAGAGCCCTCCACTGGTCCCTATCCTTCGCCAGATCAATCCAATCCATACCATCCAATCTCTCTAAGACATGTTTAGATGAACTTTTTTGATCACAAAGACCTAGGAAATCACCTCCTGCAGTTATGCCCTAAAGTCGTGAAACACTCTGTGTGTGTGTATATATATATATATAAAACTGGCATTTTTTTAATGAAAGGAGCGTCCCTTAGGAATTTCTGCAAAATAGCTTGGAATTGCTCAATTTTTGGCTCACAGGCGTCGTTTTTGTGACCTTCAAGTCGTGTTTCATTTCCGTGGTTATTACGAAAATAAACTGACTACTGTAGAGTTCTGTCGTCTGGTATATACTCGTACTGCCGTGTAGTCTAGTGAAAGTCAACCGACGGGCTCTACATGCTGTCAGCTTCACGCTGGTTTCTTGCTTGGCTTACTCTTCGACCCTGAAGAAGGGCGAGATGTTCCCCCAAAACGTCGGTTGACTTTCATCAGATTGGACAGTGTTACATCCCAAATGACAATCACTGCTGTGGAAACCTGAAATCCAACAAGCTCATTGTTGTCGCAATCTGAGTGCTTTTATGGTAGAAAGAAATTCATTTGGATTCGAACCCACGCATATAATATCAAAATTAATAATTTTCCTGGGGTTCTAGCTCCAAGAGGAAGTACGTTTTTTTTTCACCATGCGACATTTGAAAAAAGAAAATTAAAAAGCAAGAGGGAGATATTTTGTTCTTTCTTTCTTTCTAAAAACATGTATGCCGATACTCACGCTCGGATTTAGCCTGAAGGTCGAACCGTACAGTCTACCGGCACATGTGCAAATTTTTACAAGTTTGCCGGTATGCGTCAATTCACAGATTAATTTCGGGTACATATACAAGCTACAGGATGACTCTCTTAGTTACTTACTTACTCATGGAGCCGAGCCCTTCCTGAGGAGCTGCAAGTTCTGCAGCTACTCAGGAATTTCCCAACATTTTATGGAACCCGATGGTTCATTACCGTGTTCGCAAGAGTCCTCCACTGGTTTCTATCCTGTGCTAGATCAATCCATACCGTCCCATCCTGTCTATCTTGGATCCATTTTAATATTGTTCACCCACCTATGCCTTGGTCTTCCCTGTGGTCTCTTTCCTTCTGGTTTTCCTGCCGATATCCTATACGCATTCCTTGTCTTCCCCATTCGTGCTACATGCCCTGACAACCTCATCCTCTTTGATTTGATCATTCTAATTACACTTGGAGAAGAGTACAAGTTATGAAGCTCCTCATTATGCAGTTTTCTCCAACCTCCTGTCACTTCATCTCTCTTCGGTCCAAATATTCTCCTCAACACCCTGTTCTCAAACACCCTCAATCTATGTTCCTCCCTTAATGTTAGAGACCAAGTTTCACACCCATACAGAACCACAAGACTCTCTTAGTTACATACTTCAAATATAAGCACAGTGTTCTACTCTCATACGCAAACAGACACGTTCATACAAATGTATGGTCGCAACCACTACGTTAATGAGATATGGCAGCAATGCGTACAACTATAAAGCAACACCGGAAACCTAGGTCCTTATGAGCTACACCTCAACTATCAGGGACCTCTGATTTACAGCTCCTAACCGAACAACTACCGCATTTACTGGACGACGTCCCATCTGCGGCGCGGCAGACAATGTGAATACTACCCAGGTCAACGGATGGGGCAAAACGGACCACTTGTGTGGCCTCCGCAACCACCCGATCTCACTTTGCCGACTTCTACTTATGGAGCACCTGAAGAACATCGTTTAAGCCCAACTATATAACAACACCTGGAACAAGCTGTGGAATGCCATTAGAAGCATCTAGGACAATACGCAACATGCCTGACGCCTTTCAGCGGATCAGCAATTCTTGGCGCAACTGAGCTCAATTATGCATTGACTGTAATGGCGTACCATTTCAACTTCTTTTGTAAACCGTTAAGAATAGGGCAGAAGCCATTCTATTCACAGCTAATGAACTCGGTATCCATAAGTACGTTATTTGTTTATTTCCCTTTCCTCATGCTTCCGGTTGCTGTATCTAGCTAACGAAGCGGTTAGGATCATACTTTTATATGGCCGTTTCTGCTGGCGTATGAGTGTAGAACACAATGCATATGTCTAAGGTATGCAATTAAGACTCATTCTGTATATTAACTGTGATCGGTGCCACGGGCAGGAAGTTTCAATTACTGATCTCTCAGTAGGCAGATTACACTAAGGACTCACTGCGACTAGCGAAGCTCATGATGACGTCACTCTCATTAATGGCGTTAAGATCGCGCCCGCTCAGGTTCAAGTCGTCTAGGGGCGCGTCAAGTAAGGACTTATACACATCGAGCAGGAACTGGGGCGCTGCGCTATCGGGCGGGGCGCGCTGGGGGCGACTGGAGAGTCCCAGCAGGCTAAGGATTTCGTGTTCCACCTCGCGACGCTCGCTCCTGGTCAGGGTTCGTGCCATCACTGTGCGGTCCACGCCGTTATCCACGTAAAGGCCCGAGAGCGCTGCGCGTCCTAGCGCAGGAATTAAACACAACATCAACCACACTTCCATGGCAGCAACTGATCGCTGAACTGGTGTGGCAGGTTTTCTGCGTCTGGGGCTCGGGATCGCTCGGTATCACGGCCGGTAGCACTCGTTCTGATCGTCAGAGGCCTGTGTGCAACGACTATAAACCGAAACAATTATGCTGGGTTTCTGACGAATGCTCGGGTTGCGGAGACTCGTAAACAGGATCAGAACTGAACTGGCCGTGTTCGTATCATGCACAAGGGCTGGGCCCTCTTGGCCCTTGCATCGCGACCACAGTGATCTGTTGTGCATCATAACTTAGTTTCTTCTGCCTATATGTCTTTGGATGTGGATGTTTGTATGCGTTCTAATTCGTGCTTGCTTTGTAATTAGCTATTGGACTACTAAATCAACACGCAAATAAATAAAGATTACTTACTTACTTTCCTAGGCCGCGCCATAGCCCAAGCGGTTAGTCACTGGCTTCCCACAGCGGCGTCCCGGGTTCGATCCCGGGCCTGGTGAAGTGGGATTTGTGATGGACAAAGTGGCGCTGAGGCAGATTTTCTCCGAGTACTTCGGTTTCCCCTGCCAATCTTCATTCCACCAATTGCTCCACAATCACCCTCACCTATCATCAGGGACTGGTACAATAGGCCAGAAGTGGCCGCAGTACAAGGGACTTAGTCCCACCCCTCAACCAATAAAAAAAATACTCATTGAGCTGAGCCCTCATGGAGGAGTCGCCAATTCTGCAGCTACTCAAGACTTTCCCAGCATTTTATGGAACCCGAGGGTTCATTACCGTGTTCACAAGAGCCCTCCACTGGTCCCTATCCTTCGCCAGATCAATCAAATACATACCATCCCATCCTATCTCTGATAGACTTGAAAGGATTCTGACGATGGTGTATGCTGTACTTCTTTTGGCTTATTTTGGACTTCACCCATCGTCTGGTATGTAAAAGACAAAAAGACAAAAAAACCACGACGTTTCGGAGACTGGATCTGTCTCCGTCTTCAGGTGGATAGGGAAGGATAAACCTACTCAGTTGGGCCCGTTAGAAAGTCCAGTGATTGAGACTAGCTATTTCTAACGGGCCCAGCTGAGTAGGTTTATCCTTCCCTATCCACCTGAAGACGGAGACAGATCCAGTCTCCGAAACGTCGTGGTTTTTTGTCTTTTTGTCTTTTACATACCAGACGATGGGCGAAGTCCAAAATAAGCCAAAAGAAGTACATCGTATCTCTCTAAGATTCATTTTAATACTGTCCACCCACCTGTGACCTGGTCTTCCCAGTGGTCTCTCTCCTTCTGGCTTTCCCACCAATATCCTATACGCATTCCTCGTCTCCCCCATTCGTGCTACATGCCCTGACAACCTCATCCTCCTTGATTTGATCATGCTAATTATACTTGGAGAAGAGGACAAGTTATGAAGCTCCTCATTATGCAGTTTTCTCCAACCTCCTGTCACTTCATCTCTCTTTGGTCCAAATATTCTCCTCAGCACCCTGTTCTCAAACAGTCTCAGTCTATGTTCCTCCCCTAATGTCAGAGACCAAGTTTCACACTCATACAGAACCACAGGCAAAAATATGTTTTGTATATTCTAATTTTTTTTTTTTTTGACCAGCAGACGAGAAGACAAAAGGTTCTGGACTGAATGGTAGCAAGCATTACCCGATTGCAGCCTCCTCTTAATTTCCTCCTGAATCAGGTTTTGATTTGTTATCATCGTTCCAAAATATCTGAGCTGTGCCACATTTTCAAAACATCTGTTTCCTTTCTTTTATGAATTTGCTCTTCACTTTTTTGACGAGACAGCAACATATACTTAGTTTTCTCTGTGTTTTCGCCTAGACCAACCTCCTTACTCGAGGCCGCGCCATAGCTGAAGCGGTTAATCACTAGCTTCTCGCCACTGCTGCCCGGGTTCGATCCCGGGTCTAGTCAAGTGGGATTTGTGGTGGACAAAGTGACAATGAGGCAGGTTTTCTCCGAGTACTTCGATTTCCCCTGCCAATCTTCAGTCCACCAATTACTCCACAATCACTCTCATCTATCATCTGGGGCTGGTACAATAGGCCAGAAGTGGCAGCAGTACAAGGGACTTAGGCCCACCCAACTAGCAATTAAAGACAAACTTCTTATTTGCGGCAATTAAAGTTTGAGTTTTTTCTTTATGGTATCTATAGTAATACCCTGCAGATTCACATCGGCATAGACCAACAGGTGATGTGTCCCGTTTAATTTCAGTCCCACCTGGTTTTCCTGGACCTTCTTAATTACATATTGTAAAGCAGGGGTCTCCAAACCTTTCGAAACGCGGGCCACATTAGGTAATTCAGCACTTTCAACGGGCCGGATAAAATGAGAAATTAATAACTCTAGGTATATGAGTTTTATTGAAAGCACAGAATTTCATAAACTAAATACAAAGTACGTGAGAATAAATTATTGTATATTAATGGCAACAGACAGTAGCAGCAAATGCTCATATTTCATCACAAATTATAATAAAACAATTAATATAAATGATGGAACTCTTTTTGCATTCTTAAAATCTGATTAAATTGAGGTTCAAAGTTTGAAACGCTAAGCACAAGTAGCGACTTTAAATGTTCATCGAATAAATTTGCCCTGTATTTCGACTTGATGTACTTCATCTGGGAAAAAGTTTGTTCACAGATATGTCGTCCCAAAAATGGAGATAAATTTACAAGCCGGCCGTCGTAGAATGGACTGAAGTTCCGGTAGCCGTATCAACATTCCTCACATTCCTCGCTACCAATTCTCGGAACAGTTAGAGCAAAACTGGACATAAGTTGCCTTTAATACAAAAATGGTAATAAGTACGACACCGGCGGTGATGATGATCTGTTACAATTTACACTGCACCACTGCAAGAAGTCTTGTGCACAAGACGGCTAGTAACGAACTGCTCGTGCTACCTACATTGCCACGAAGTGACCCTGCCGATCCAGGCCGAACAAGTACGAAGAAATACCGCGAAATATACGGTCCAGAATTAGTAAAATTGTGAATAATATTAATATTAACATAATATGGAATATCAAAATATTTTAAACACGCTCTTAATGAATTTGAAATCTATGAACAAGTATTTTTTACCAGTACTCATTGGAAAATTATTTCAATTGGGGCATTTCTGCACAATTCTTTCGCGGGCCGCATAAAATCACATTGCGGGCCGTAGTTTGGAGACCCTTGCAAAGCAAAGTAGAAAATGAGTGGCGATAAAGCATCGCCTTGATTTAGACCATTCTGGATAGGAAATTTATCAGACAAATATTTACCTATATGGACTTTGCTATGCGTTTCGTGTAAACATATTTTAATTAGCCTAACCAGTTTTATGGGTATCCCAAACTCTATAATAATAATATTGTACGTAAGGAAGTAAAAAATTATCCGTACTCTTGCTTTTTTCAAATTTATGTACACAAAAGTAGGGGTTGAACAAGTACATCATTTTTCTACATAGTCTCCTTCCTTTTCGATTTACTTGGTCCCACAGTCCATTGAATAATGGCAATGTTTGTCAATAATCAATAATCGCTCGGCCGCAGTGTTCATTTACTTTGTCAGTTTAATAGATAATTCATGCATTTTTAGTGTCTCACTTATTCATAGCCTTCTGACCGGTTCTGGGGTCGTCAGATTCATATGCAATTGATGCAGACTAGAGCGCCCAGATGGACTCTGGGGCCTACCCAGCCTCCAATACAATACCCGGTGATCTTTCACCGGGATTAAAGCAACCAGAGCATGAAGATGGGCACTAACTTCCATATAGTGTCTAGGTCAAGAATGGTGGAAATATAAGTCAATTACTCCAGACGCCTTCATGGCGTTTTGCTTCTGACTTGTATTTGAGATGTCTCCCTTTCGAATTTCGGATAGGACCACCCTATCTGATGATTTTCATGGATTTCTACAGTACATCGAGGCAGATGTCGATACAGTGAGCTAAAATAAAACCCACATCCACTTATTTGCGCATGTTTCCAATTCATTATTTACTATCCTTCAGGCTATTATCATAAATCGACACTACACATTCTGAAATACATCATTACATGTAAACATAATAAATAAATAAATAAATAATGGATTATATCTAATCGGCAAAAATTAATTACTGAAGGTCTAATGTTCTTGATATATACGAATTTTGAGGCCAGAGACCTGTAATACTGGCCATACCACGAATCAATTAATTAATATTGAGGGAAGCCAAAAAACATTTTACAGCATACTTATAAATGATATACCTTAACCCCTGGTATCTATCTAAGTCTCTTTGCTGATGACACCAGTATATATATGACTGACTGCAGGGAGTGTTATGTTCTCAGAAAGATGCAGCAAGGTTTCAGTACTACTGAGACAAGGTGTCAGCGCTGGAACATAGAAATCAATGATCATAAGGCTCAGTCCATCTACGTTTCTCATGTACTTACGTTCCCTGAGGCTTATCTTTCATCAAATGGGCAGAACAGCCCCTTTCGTCAATCGTGTGAAATATATCTTTGTAATCTATGATAAGAGCTTTACAGGAAGATTGCACGTAGAAATGATTGAAGCCAAGGCCTTCCGAACATTTAATAGAATCGACTTCCTATTCAAAAGCGTGTGTTTAATCTCCAGCATTAAACTAAACCTCCATGAGATACTGATCGGATGAATAAAGATTTCAGCTTGCCCCGGCTGTGAATTAGCGGCTCACACCACCCTCTTGAAGTAACAGCTCCCACAAAACAAGGTTTCCCATGCTATTGAAATTTTTCCAAGCTGCACACCATTCTGTGATTTGCACACAGTTTTCAACCTTCTGTGTGTGCTATATTATTGTATAACAAAATTATTCAGGTAACATGATGAAGTCATACAAAATCGTTAGAATGAAAACGGTCACAGCATAGGACAAGGCGAAACCAGACAGAAAATATAAGAGGCTTAACTTGGCGGTGGTCAAGCTTACGACCATTGATGTAGGATAGGCATGTGCTGTTTTGCAAAGCCTGGACTGACAGAGGACTTGTGTGTAATGCAAAAGGAAGAATTTTCAATTACATGGTACATGTGCGATATGTACACCCAACGAAAGGCCAATCATGTTCATAAGAGACATGCCCATCCTCTCGGGAGAAAGGATGTTACATGACTATAACTGCAAAGGTTCAATTGAAGAAATATATCTCTGGTTGTGAGTCTCAAGGGGTTTCGTGACAAAACAAACTGACTAGCTGTAAACCGCCAGTCATGAAGTAACTTTGACCAGCGTTAGGCTGCACGTCTCCCCGAGTCGTGAAACAGAAAAATATGGCCATGAGTCTTGCGGGACTCAAACCAAGAATTTCTGTTCTGGCAATTTCCAAGAGCAATTTGCACAACCGCATGATAATCTAGACTTCAAAACACTTAAACCATAACTCTTAAAATAGATTGTCATATTATAGCCACTAGATACACTGAATTTATTAAATGCTTATAACTCATAACTACAAATAACTATTACATTGTCACTGATTTACACTATGGAACACTAAAACTATGGCACACAAATTCTTCTGTTTTTCATTCTTTCATTACTAGTCATGTCACTAGTCGTTTCTTGGTAGTGGCTACTAACAGTGGAACTAACGACTCTTGGAACTATTGCACATGATTTCCTTATGCCAGCTGAAGTTTTATACAAAAAACATGGGATGGTCTGAAACAATTTCTTTCAAGACAGCACATATATGTTGCTGACTTTGTAGATTAGACAGCTTAATGTTCTCTCCCTCCAGGTACACACGAGCCCTCTTAGCAGCAAGATGTGCATAATATGTAGGTGCTGGATAGGACACACTGCGTGTACAACGTGAGAACATATGACATAAGTAGTATGCAATCTTTTCAATTTCATTTTCTGTCATAATGTCATCATCATTCCACAATAAATGATACTTGGTAGGTCTGCTAACACCCTGGATGCTGGAATGGCTAACCAGATAAAAGTCCACTTCAGTCGGGTGAGTAATTTCACGATCAACCACTGTACCGGGTGGAACGTTCTTATATCTCCCATCTGCATCCTCACTTCTTGGAAAGAATCGGGTGTGGTGACGTTTCTGCACCACCAGGAATGTCACTTTAGGTTCATATTCTTGGCCCATAGAAAGACAAGCACGTCGAATTGCATTCACCTCGCTGTTCAAAACCTGTGCAAACTGTCCGTCACCTACACCATCTCGAAAAAATATTATCCTCTCTGGTTTGCAAGCAGACGTGTGTCTATAAAAGAACAGAAGCTGCTGTCTCATGATATTTTCCAGGTCTTTGATGATCTCTACCTTTGGAGGTTGTAATCTAATCTGGATGTTGTACTTGAAAGCCCNTGGTTTATTCCATTCAGCTTTGAGTTGATTTTCAATAGAATGTTGTATCATACAGCAGGATTCAAACGTGACATTGTTCTTCCCTTCACACATTGAGTCAATACTCCAATATTCAGCTCTGCTTCTTTCTTCACTTTAGCATAGCAGTCTCCTCTATCAGGAACAACTACCACCACCAGCTGAACTTCTCTCTTTACCGTTTTAAAGAATTCCATTAGTTGATATGTATTTTTTGTTGGAGGCTGCATACTCTTTGGGGGAGAAGGAGGAGCAATGTCCATTCCCAGTGTTCGTCCCATGTTCTGCATTTCAACTGCAAACCGTCTCATCTCATCTTCTGTTGTATATTTGTTTAAGTTCAGAATAATCCAGTGAAAAACCTTGTTGCTGCTCAAAAATTTTAATGGCCTCCAAACACCCTTCATAGGCTTTACAACATTTTTTTTGTCCACTTCAACATTATATTGTAACTGTGGTGCCTCTAGTACACGAGCCTCTACTTTTTCAAATCGGTCACTGACTGAGAGGCCAAACTCTTTCATATATGGGTCGTCGTTGAATCTCACCGACTGCAGCGCTGCCTGAATCTTTTGTTTCCTGATATCGGTAGATGTTGTAGTGTTCTTTATCATGTTTGATATTTGTGTCTCATTCAGTATGCAGTACAACAGGATACTGCAATGCAATAGTACATTATGATGTGATATTAAACTCATTTAAAAAAATCGAATAAGAACCTCTACAGCACAAGAGGTTGGCGTATCAAAATCATTCATAGCTGTTTTGTGAACTCGGGAATCGGCGGAACGTAGGAACAATTGGAAAGTGCCACAAATATTGACATCAAGACAGGCGAGTAAGTGTTAAACTTCTTGCCGACTGAGCCCTCGGTAGTGATTATAGCCACAAGGCTGGAGTATCCTTAACGAGGAAGATAGATGGCGGTATAAGGATCTATGACGTCATGAACGTCATGAACCTACGTAGCCATGCAATAAGATTGAGAAGCACTTCTGTTCGGTCGGTTCCGTCCGTTCCGTCTGTTTGTCAACGAGGTAAAGTGAGTGATTGGTAGGAGATTATTTTATGTTAAAATATATTTATTTAGGTTAAACTCCGATATCTTTTGTATTTATGAATTATGACTACTGCGGCTAGACCTACTTTCGAGCCTGCTCGTGGTGGACAGGGTCGTGGAGAGAAGGATCTATCTGCAATATCGAGGCAGTATTCGAGTAGAGACTTGCCTTCACACAACAAACTTAAGTACAGGTACGAATTTCTGTAAAACATGATTACGGTGCTTTTGTGAATATGGTTGTAAATCTCATGATTTCATGAAAGGTGGGGGTTATCTTTGGCTAGTTTGGCGACCATTAGCGTCTTATGAAGGACCCTGCTGTTTACAGTGGTGGAGGGTGACTTTTTGAAAAGTCTCTGCCAAGTACTATGACAGAGGTAGGTCGTTAAAGTTTTTTTTTTTTTCAGGTGAATATATACATCCTACAGTACAAGTATACCTGTCTGAGCTAAAACTTAATGAAGTTAAGGACGGAAATGTAAATTAAGAAATGTGGTTAGGGACCACTTAGCTTATCTTTATTGACAGACGTGATCTAGTTTTTACATTTGGATAAATGTATCCAGTTGTAGCTTATGAGTAATTATGTCAGCCGCAAACAGGGGTCCAATGTTGGTATAAAACTTTATAGTGTTTTACATTAATAGTATAATTTTTTCTTTTACACAAGCCCTTTAAAATAGTTCTAATCATAAAGCATCATTAATATTTCAAATGAACCCATTAAAATCCACTGGTTACTCTAGTTGCCACCTGCGTTAACATACTAAATCTCTGCATTCTGCACGTGGAGTGTATTTGTGTGTTTCATATGATTCTCATAGTAAACAGTGATTATTTCTTTGTAATAGAGCTGTAATATGTTTCCTGTGAGGTATGAACAGAATCTTGTTTGTTATGTAGAAGTAGTTCAGTCTTTAAAGGGTTAATATGTTGCAGGATCTAATGTACAGAATTCAGAAATATTGTATGTGATGTGCAGTATTGTTTGCTCCCTCCTATATTGTGTCCTTTCTAATTACACATGTGTTCACAAACAGCTAGCATAAGTCACAAGGAACTGGCTAACAAGCCTTGATGGCTGGCTGGAAGTGGCAAATAGTGTATTATCTGATGACTTTTGTTCAAGTATGTTGAGTGCCACCGAATCATGAAAGTAGCACACACTATTTTATTTTTCAGAATGTGACCACACTAACATGGTTAGCACAAATGCCCTGTCACTGGCTGCATGGAATTAAGAAGTATGTTTTCAGCCATTAACTATACTTTATTTACAAATGAAACACACTTTTTGTAACTTCTACATTTTTCCATTCAAGATTATGTCTATAAGGCATGATATTGAAGGTTTCACATTTATAAGAATTCTGTTTCAATAAAACACCACCATGCATGTGTTTCTGTTAGCTAATCTTTGCTCTAATACAGGATATTTCTTTTCAGGGAACATGGGCAGGGGACCTCAGAAGAACTGCGCTCTCGAGATTTCCGAAAGGAGTTGGAAGATCGTGAGAAGGGGAAGAGTGGAGCCCGTGAGATGCGCATTCCAGAGACAGTGACACACAAGCGACCCAAATTGGACCAGGTGCCAGCTGCCAGCCTGGATGCAGATGATCCACTTGATGAGGAAAATTCTGATGACCCTGACAGTGATGATGACACAGCACAGCTGCTGGCAGAGTTGCAACGCATTAAGAAGGAGCGCTCTGTGGAGCAAGCCAAGCGTGAAACTGAGAAGCGGCAAGAAGAAGAAAGGATTCGAATGGAAAATATCCTTAGTGGAAATCCATTACTAAACTATGCTTCCCAGGTTCAGAAAGGAGACTTAAAGGTGGGTGATTGTTTTCACATATTCATTTCTGTCTTCCATGCAACTTATACTAGAAGTTTTAAATTTAAAACTTTTTTTCTATTTTTTTTCATTTTTAAAACTCATAATTCATTAACTTTATTTGTCCTATTATCACAACATGTGATTATGCAATGCTGCAGTCATGTGTGACAAATGGAATCTCTCACAACTGAATATGACTCTTGTCCACAGGTGAAGCGACGGTGGGATGATGATGTTGTCTTCAAGAACTGTGCCCGATCTGAGCCAGACAAGAAGAAGGAGCAACAATTCATCAACGACTCACTGCGCTCTGAGTTCCACCGCAAATTCATGGAAAAGTATGTTAAGTGAGCACTTGCACTCCAAACCAAATAGACAGATATCCAGTTGGAGGTGTGAAGGAATAATGAAAGCTGAAAATGCAATGTGTGCCATTCATAATGATCATTTAATTGGTGTACTGCTTTATTGTAATATCTTAGAGTTCATAGTGACTGAAGTAAAGAATTTGCTTTCTCTTACCTGCTAATTAATTATGATGGAAGTTTCATGTGTTATGAATTGTGGCTAGAAAGTTCCAAGAATGACTTTGAAAGTAAGTTAAAACTCAGCTTACCAATTAAGTGCTAGTATCCCCTTCAAAGTAGCTATCCTGGGTTGCCATTTACAAAGGTGTTCATTTCTGGATCACATTATGGGATCACTTTTAGCATTGTGATGCATTCTTCTGGACCTCCTCCAGTGATCTCAGTGAATTTCTTCAGCTAATTTCTTGTGGTCGGGAATATAAAGGAGTCATATGCAGAGAAATCAGGGGAGCTTGGAGGATGTTCCACTAGAAGGATTCTCTTTTGCATCAGAAATTGTCTGACAAACACTGCAGGGTGAGCTGATGCATTTGTTGATGCACTACCCATTTATCCAGGTACAAGTCATACTTTATGTATCTCACTGTCACCCTCAAACACTGTAGAACTGTAAGTTAAAATGGCTGGTTGACAGTTTATGCTTGGAGAATGAATTCCAAGTAGACATTTCGTTTGTTGTCAGAAAGCTGTATTATCATGGTCTTGAATGTTGACATGTTCATCCTTGCTTTTTTTCAGTCTGGGAGAACTCCCTGTCTTACACTGTTCTACCTTTTGCTTTCAAGATCTTACCGAAATATCTGTGCTTTGCGCAGTATGATGATGATATGAGGAAAGTTTGGTCTGGCCTGAATTTTGTCCTAAATGTTAATGACACTGGTTTTTGCTTGAGGTATTAGTCATTGGTCAAGTTTTATGGTAACATCTTAGCACATGCTTTCTTCATTTTGAGATCAGTGGTTAAAATTTGGCAAACACATATTCATCCCCAGTTATTCTGCTATCAGTCTGAGAGCCATTTCTGAATCAGTAGAAAAAATTGCCACACTTTTTCAACATTCTTATCAGGTTTTGCTGTTGTCAGCCCTCCCAACCAAGAGTTGACATGGATGCCTCCCCTTCAGAAAATCATTTATGCCACATGAAAACTCATCTCTTTGTGATCAAATTCTCCTGCAAACTACTTCTTACAATTTGCAGTTCTCAGTGGCTGCTATGTTCAGTTTGACCAGAGATTTTATATTAAGGCATCTAACAAAACACTACATGTTTATAGGATCAAAGCACAAAGCACTTTCATTTCACATGACGTAATAGTGACTGTAGACAGGGTTTGGATTGGTAATTAGATTTATTGAACACTTACAGATAGTAACTACCAGTAACTGTAGTGCTATTGCTAATTCACTCACTCTGGAAATCACTACAACATGCAGCATATCTTCTCAGTTTGCTGGTTGTCACCTGGTAATGGCTTCCAGTGCCATAAATCCTTCAACTTCCATGTTCACAGCTTCACGTCATTGCGGGCTGTCGCCTTTTCACAGTAGCCCCCGAACTGGCTTCCGACTGCCGAATTCTCAACTTGGCTCCACTCCACTAACTGAACTCAACATGGTTGGTCAAGTGATATAGCCTTGGAGGGGACCCAACAGAAAACACCGTTCCTCTGTTGTTGGTGTTGTAATATCATGTTCCACTGCAGTGGCACTATTCGCCTGGTGCCAGACCACATGGCAACACTGCTTCTTACAGCTCTACTGCTGTTGCATGAAATCACCACAGATGTGACATGTTCCTCTGTTGTGTCTGCAGTCATTGTTATGCTTATAAGTTGTGTACTGTGCCTTAACCCAGTAATGGCTCTCTACATGTAAGATTTGAGGCTTTCACGGCGGTGACTATNGCCAAATCCCAGAAGACTGCTTTCTTCATGGCTCTCTACATGTTACAACATTTTCAGACAGTAAATTCACAAGAATGCTCAGCCACTCAAATGATAATTGGGGGAACCTGTTACAGGATTCATTGACAGGTTTGGGGCAAGACCTGATATCCGTGGCCCAGTGTTACCATTCCTGAAAATTTCTAACCACACTGTACAAGTATAAAGTTACATCTGCAATAACAGATTTGCATAACCAGTAAATATGAGGACAAGTGAAGTATGCAAGATTTCTAGTACATTTGGGAAGAATGTGTACTTGAGTACATTTTTCCACAGGGATGTTACAACATTTTAAAACTAGGGATATGAGTGCTGGAATACAAGAGGTGGTTAATTATACAGAACATATACACAAATAGTGCTGTAATGTTCACATCCAGGTTCATAAAAATCAATTGGTTCAAACGTTATTAGGGAAGGTAGGCAGATGGATATGATTACATGAGGGTTGGAACTTTAATAGTGACAACTATTTATTTACAACTGATGCAGAATAGATGCATGTTTTGAAGTTCTACTGTCCTTCAGCGTAGTCACCAGTATTGCGTAGAACCCGTTGCCAGCGATGTGGAAGTCGTAAGATACCTTTAGCAGCACCTGTTGTGTTGATAGTTCGAATGGAGCGGTCTACTGCCTGAAGAATCTCTGGAACAGTTCTGAAGTGAATGCCACAAAGTGGTTCCTTCATCTTAGGAATCAAGTCGAAGTCACAAGGGCTTAAGTTCAGGGAGTATGGTGGATGGTACAGCACTTCCCAACCCCATTGATCGAACAAATCAGCCACAGCCTGCCATTTCTGCATTTCCGTCAAATCATGCGGAACCCATCATGATGCAATTTTTCTCATGCCCAGGCATTCCTTCAGAGTGTGAAGCACAGTCGTATGCACTAATCCTGTCTCTCGGGCCAGCTCATGAATCTTATGGCGTCAATCATTCTCCAGTAACGCAGAAAGAGCATACACTTCTTCTTCACTGACACTAGGACAACCTGGCCGATGCATGTCTGCCACATTTTGGCATCCCTCGTTGGAGGTTTTTACCCACCTTGCCACTGTTCTGTAAGGCAATGAAGATTCTCCACAAGCCTCTTGAAGACCTTGATGACACTGTCGTGCTGTATGGCCTCTGGCACATTCAATCTTTATCCAACTGTGTCGTTCCTGTTTCGAAAACATCATGACAACACTACATTAGACCTTCAGCTAACACGTGGCTCTGTTCTTCTCGTCACTGTGCATGCGCATGATGTTGGAAGGGAGAGTCCATTTGTTCTGAGGTAAAGTAGGTATGTAACTAACGTGTGGTATAAGCAACATTATTTGGTTCCGTTGCATGGCGTCTCTACAGCAGTGTTGCCACGATTAAAGTTCCAACCCTTGTACTATAATATAAACCTTTTGAAAAAGTAAACTAGATTAAGCTGAAATAATTATGAAATATGTGTAAACACATGAAACAGTGTGTATTGAAGTGTTTCAGTTTGAAGAAGTACAAGCAATTACAAAGAAATAAGTTGCCACTTAAGAAGATTAATAACACATGCTGAATTTCAGTCTGAGCATTTTTTAATATCTATGCCTCAGAACAACAGAATACAATGTAAGGCAGGGTTAAGTAATCATTTACACATTTCACATAATATTTCTCATCTGTCTGTTTCAGTGGCTATTTCATTCAATAAGTGCATAAAAGAATACTCTGAATCCAACATTTGATACAAAACCAAAATCCAGAATAGGGTATCCATGAGGTTCCAGTTAAGAGCTATGGACAATATATTGTTGCACGAAGTACGTGGCACAGTCATTAATTTCGGTGAACTGTGATTTTATCGCATCATATTACAAGTTATTCACATACACTTACACAGATCCACATCGACCCTCAAAATAGTTGCCTTTGGCCGCTATGCAAGTCTGCCAATGTTGATATAGCTGCCAAAAACACTGCTGAAACATATTGACAGGAAATTCCCATACGGCATCTCTTGTGGCATTGATGACCTCCTTGGACGACTGAAATCTACGACCACGTAGCTTTTCTTCCAAGTGGTGAAAGAGAAAGAAATCGCATGGTGTGTGATCAGGTGAGTATGGAGGGTATGGCAGGACGGTGACCTGTTGCCTTGCCAGTTCCTCTAGGGCAAGAACAGAGCAATGTGCAGGGGCGTTGTTGTGTTGCAACAGCCAATTCTTCGTGCGCCAAATGTTTCGCTAGGGGATTTGCCTAGTTTCTGGCAGAACTTGATGTTTGCCCGTTCTCCAAACTGCCATATTTTCAATTTCCACACTCACATGTAACTGCATTTCACAATAGAGGCTGTAGTTCTGCTTACACTGTTTGCACACAACTGCCTCTTGCTGTGACGAGAGATGAACTGACAGGGCATCATATTGTGCCTCAACCTATCTGCTATAGTGCACTGCAATTATGCTTTGCAGCCAGTGCATGATATTATTGACTGTGGCAATATACGTCTGTTAGTTGAAGAAGAGAACATGCTTCTCACATATCATATGCGTTTCAAGTGTAATACAAATACATCTCAATTCATCCAGCAATATAAAGGTTTCTACAATTTCAGATTTTGCCATGTCACAATATTAGCTGACATCTAGTCAAGACATCTAGTGTGAGGTAACAGAGAGGAACAAACGTACTGACAATTTATTAGAGCTCCAGTTGCATTGATAGCATTGGTTTTATTAATTTTAAAATGGAATGCAATGACAGAATATTTCATTTGCAAATATGTATATGGAAGCTTATGTCACAACATAATTATAGACATGTCAGTGTTATGTGAACTTAAAGCAAAGGTCAGTTCTGTATGTGGTTCATACCTAAGGTGTAGGAAATGTTTTTCCTTGCAC